TAAGCAGAGTTCCAACTTGTCATCTTTCAAGTCGATATTTTACTCTATTCCAACAAGATCCTGTTTGGATGACTAATTTTAATGCAATCCTTCATCTTTATAAATTGCCTGACATTATTCGGGGAGGAGGGGTCCCCCTGACTGACTTTAAGTGTCGGGCCTGGATATCAGCACATGATGCCATTTTCGACAAACAAGTTAAGTTCCAAATTCTCTCCTTGGTTTAAATTAATTAAAAAGGATCAAAATAGAGCACATTATATATCTGAGATTACCTTTTACAAACTTTGTTCAGCCCTTACAGCCATTTGTTTCCAAACTATGCAAGCCGCCATGCTTGTAGGATGTTTAAACCAGTGGAACAGCTTCTATGCATCTGCGGAGCCCCAGAACTAGAAGATCTTCCACAACATCTGCTTTTCTGTCCACTATGTACAGGCAAACATTTTTAGATTCAGTCTTGGCTAGCTTAGGCCCGAGTTCTGCATCAAAGAAAATGTCATTTCTTCTTGTGGACGTAGTGCCTTCAGTATCTATCAAGGTTGCTCTGTTTGCCCTGGCTGCTAAGAAAATCTGGTCAAGGTTACAGCCTGCAACCTAGGCTAACGGTTTGCCATTGTATCTTTGATTGTTGGCTGAATATTCACAGGTTTTATAGGATCAATTTTAGTAAAATAATTTTAACTGTTCTGCAATTGTCTCTTTTAACCCTGTCTGAAAGCAACCCTGTTGAATTCCTTTCTATTTTGCCGCTGGTAGTATTTGTTGCTTGACCTCTTTTTATTTCTTGGTCGTATACTAAGTTTGTAATGGCCTTAGGACCCATGCAATAAATCTGAATACAAAATACACATGGACCAAGTGTTAGATTCACCCATACAAATGTTACCATGCAAGTACATTACAGTTGGGTCAAGCTATGAAATCACTAATCATGTTCAAGAGTCTGATTTCTTCATATTATTTTAGAAGCTCTTCCTGGTTTTCAGCAATTTCCCAACTTCAAGGAACAGAAACAATACAGTCACATATTACATCCCCAGAATAAGCAGAAGTGCCACAATGCGTCTGATTTGAGGAACCAGGTTTTCTTCACTTCCATCACAGCTCCCATTGATTTCAATGGAATTAACACCTAAGCGGGATTCTTCCAGTACCATTTACACAGCAGTAGGCTCGGAAATAAATAGGAGGCCTTAAGCTAACTATTAGTCCTATCTATCCTACAGCGTTCCATGCGCCTTGGTGTTTAGTCATGCCGGCCACATGACCATGGAAACGTCTTCAGACAGCGCTGGCTCTTCGGCTTTGAAACGGAGATGAGCACCGCAACCCTAGAGTCGGATTCGACTGGCTTTCGAGCAAGGGAACCTTTTTATCCTACTGTTAACTTGCCCTTCCTCCAAGAAGCAGAGAGTTTACCCCTTCCCATATTATTCTCCAATAACTTTCATTTCTCAAATGCCAGAATTTAAACCACAGGAAAATAATTCTGCAAACAGTTAGTCAGAAGTAAAGAAATTAATTTGCAGTTAATGCGTTCTGCTGGTTTTCAGTGTGTTAAGTTTACATTAACAAGGACAATGCAACTCTCAGATCTCCAATGCTACCCCTACAGATCCCCCCCCCAATAGCTTCTTAATGATGCGATTGCCATAAAAGTTACCTTTTGAATTTCTCGCTTCAAAAAAAGGAGATCAGAAGCATGTTCAGGAGGAGAAAAAAGACAAGACCGTCTTGCTAATCAATTGATCAACTGCACAGTCTAGGGGAAACAAAATCGGAACATTATTAGAGAGGTTGATACAAGCAGTATATTCAGAAAGGTCAATCAGCACCACATAAACAACAAAGTAATGGAAATGCAAAGGATCCAATGGAAAAGAATGTGCAAAAATTGCCAAAAAGAGCTTCAGAGGAGAACAATTTTAATTACAGGAACTGTGCGAGGAATAGAATAAACATAGGCTGTATGTCACAGGTTGGAACACGACACAGCATAAGAAACACGAAGCCTCTTGTTGATGCTTTCTGGCTGTATTTTCTATTCAGGTACAACTGTAGAGACCCCTCATTCATTGCTTTTGACACAATAATGCAGCCTTTTAAAAACTGAAAAGTGACAACAGCAAGAGCTATTGCCAAAGACAGGCTACTTGTGACTCCTGCAGCACCTGAATAGCCTTTTGGCTGTCAACCTGCAAATCTGAGCTCCAGTCCTCGTCGGTCATGCTTGGTGGAGTAACTTGCCCGGTTAGGTTGGTACATTTGTATGGCTTCACATAACCAGGTGCCAACACTCTCTCCTAAGTTCACAATTTATTTCCAGCCAAAGATTTTAGAGAGGGCTGAGAGTCATGACTTAATCATCTGGAGCCAGCTGTATGAAAGCTTTTGTCCCATCAAAGGTGACAACTCCTGGAGACAAAATGGGATTCGTCCACTATTTGGCCCCTGAATTACCCTGTGCCCATGTCAAAGAGGTGGGTTTGCAATGGCCCTCTTGTTCCAGCTGTGCTTTTTCAGGGAACACGTTGCTTGATTCAGATGCGGAGAGTATTACAATACCATCACAGCAACCAATTCAATTTTAGCTGACTTTGAGGGTACTCATGAACAGATTTGCAGAAATTAAAACTTTTTTATTCTGGTCTCTCCACAAAGCCTAATTGATACATATTAGTAGTCCACACCTAATACAGACAGGATGAATACCTTTGGCCATCACACTTTCCCAGTGGCAAAGCACTATGCAGAACTCCAATGATTTCTTTTGTAGCAGACTTTTAAAATATCATCTTGCAGTGAAACGTGGTCACAGTAACTGGATGATATAGTAGGAGCCACAGGGCAGACTGCTACAACCACAAGGAGTCTATTTTCCCATCATTGCTTAGAAGAGATACGAAGTACAGTAAGATCTTTGTGACTGTAAGCACCACTGGTATGGGTTTCCTGAGTACTAGAAAGAGATACAGCACATCTATGTTGATATTTTCTGACATGGTTCAACAATGAAAAACCCGTGCTACTGTCTCATTGTTGTCTCAGTTCTTCTTGCCAACGTAATTCAGCTAAAATTGGTCTAGGAAACAACTGGATACACGGTGAATTCAGATGATTATGTAGTAAGTACTAACTTACTGCAGTATGCCGAGAACCACTGAGTAAACCGGTCATCTCTAATGAAAGGAGGAGAAAGGTTAGGAGAATTGTGCCTTACTTCCTGCTTTTCCAAATTCCAGAATCGGATGGAGGGGTGCAAAAATTAGCTTCATCGCTTTTCTGGATGACACTGATTGTTGGCTTCTTACAGGAATCACACTATGCAAGTTATCACTCCATGAATGGTACTTTCATACTGTCCTGTGGTAACAGTATAAAATGTTGGCTATCGCTGTCACATTGTTTTAAGTCAATGGATCAAAAGCCTGATAAAAGCAAGGCACCAGGAGAAAACACTCTGAATGCCAACATTTCCCAATGAAATACGTGCCAATATACCTTCAAAACAGCCCAGAAGTAAGGAATACTGTCAGACATGGACATAGATTGACACTTGTGCTGGGAACTTACACTCTTCCCGATTTCCTAACCACCTCCTTTAAATAAAACAATATCGGAATAACAAACATTCAACAGGTGACATATATCAACGAATTACATGCACAGTTTGTAAGGATAAGAATAGCAAACGATCCTGCATGTAGCTGGTCTAATGGATATAGTTTAAAATCCGACAGGAGCAGGAGCTTTCACTCTCCCTTGGAAGGAGGCCTTGCAAAAAGGAAGCAGAACGACACTTCCATCGAGACCCACACATTTAGAAGTAGGTACCTTAGCCAACACCCCCTTCCCTTCCCACTCTAAAGAAGGGAGAAGCACAGCTAACATATCAGAACCAGCCCCTGTAGAAAAAGAGAATACAAACCAAGGGGACAGTTCACCAGGATACTCTCTAGCTTGGTTCCACCTCCCCAAATGTGGTTTCCAAACATCAGCATTGGGAGGAAAGGTGTATACAAGGTTGCAACAAGAAGATGGGCACACTAAAATGTTTCATAAAAATGCAGCTGCATAACGATTGGGACTACCTGCTCTCTGGGCTCCCCTCACTGAAACGGGCTGCATCCCAGGACTTCCCACCTCAGCATTTGTAAGGCTGGGGGGGGGGGTCCTACCTGACCTCTGAAGATGCCCAGTTTCCCTCTTCCCAGTGCTGCCCCTCCTTTGCCTTATAAGTCACACCTATTAGACTGTGGGTCATTTTGGAAGGGACCTCTCTAGTGTCTTTCTTGGTACATTTGGTTGGAAATAAATTAATACCTACCAGTTTTACTTAGCTCATTTTGCTACACGTCTTTAACCGTGGGGCCTTGCCAGAGAAGCAAATCTTCATCCGTTTTCCAAACGCCAGAGTGATAGTGCTGTTCTTGAAGCAACAACTCTCGTTCACGTAGCCTTACTTGGAAACTAGGCGGCTAAGAGTGTGCTTCAGTGACTGGTACATATGTAATATCGGCATATGGCTTCGCTTTTTATGACGTTGTTTTATTGTTTATGAAAAGTCATAGTGATTCAGCTCTTTTTTTGAATATGGGGGGGTGGGGGTCACCACTTGGAATGGTCTCATTCTTTTAAATTTTTTTTCTCCATTATCATGGGCCATGGTGTTATTTTGTTATTGCTTTTTTTCTTTCTTTTTTTGGGAAGACCATTCCGTTTTTATTTTTTTAAAACATCTTAAAGTGATAAGGAGAGATATATGCAAAGCAGTCGTACACAGTATCATTAAAACTCATACGTAAAATACGTACACAAATCCAACAAAAGGCTAGTACATAGTAAAGCCTAAGCATACTACTATGCATCATGAATACAGAACTTTAGAGAGACTTCGGCTTAGTACTGTTATCTATTATGTCGGAAAACATTCACAAAGATCTTAAATGCAAATTTTCATTCCATACTTGGAATAAAAAAAAAATTACCTATGATATAACAACTCTTGGTCGATTTTTTTGTTTGTGTGACCAATTCTTTAAATTACAAAGAACCCAAAGAATTCTGTAATGTTTCAGTAGAAGTAATAAAAACATTGCATATGTTCCTAATATGATGTCTTTAGCAATCATTTACCGAAATGTAAATGCAACTCGAACATCGATCACTCAAAATACAGGGTCAGCGGCTTATGCCTTTTCTGAAAATCCATCAGTTTTACCCAAATGCCTCGTAGTACAAATATGCAAAAGTACTTTAGGAAATGCTAATGCAACATAGGTACAGTTCTAGCATTGATCAGCTGAATCATCTTCTCCAAGAACGAGATTCATTGTCGTCGTCATCTTCGTCGTCGTCTTGAAGCAGTGAGTCATCTACCAAAGATTCCTCCTGAAACTATACAGAAAATGCCCAGTAAGAAAATGAGATTGGGAAGCTGAAAACATAGACCTCGCTAATAAGACAAGGAAGCTGCATATTAGCTTGTAAAGACTGTGTGTAAACTGCTACTGCAGTTTGCAAAAATGGAAGCGGTGTGAACTGGGGGGCGGGAGCAGAATATTAATATTGCCTACCAACAATAAAAGGTGGCACATCCAAGAGGTATATGTCCGGGGTGGAGATTCAATTATTTATTTCATGCTGCCATAATTTGGAAAAAAAAATAGCAACTATTATTACTTAAATGACTGGATATTGTTTCCCCACTAAAAAACCATCTCTCTTAACGACTTGGCTAGATATGTCAAGACAAAAGATACATTTCATGATATTGACGAGCCCTACTCAGACCAAGGTTGAAGTTGTGTGCTCTGTGAACTCAGAGTAAGAAGGCAATCAAATGTATGTCAATGCTGAGTCTTGCAAAATCTTCATGGCTGTTTTCTGACCAGCTGCTGTCTTGTTGTAAACGTTCAGAACACTACATAGAAAATATCTCTGACTATCCATGTTTAAAAACACCTTTAGGAGCAAGAGCCTATCAATGAATACATATTTTCTGCCCATCTCCCTTAAGCTTTCTGAATAAGGCAGGGCAGAACCTGAATAAATAAGCAAGCAAAACCACCTGAATAGTCCTATACTATACCAAAGTACTCCTAATCACAAAGCGAAGCTTCAAGAATTTATTCAAGTAAAGGTTACTATTCAGCAATTAACACTCTCCTACTACTTCAACACTAGAGATAATCAATTCTGGGTGAGAAGTTATAAAAGTAATTTTCATAAATGAAATATGCATCTACTAGGAGGCGCTTACACAAAGGTCAAAGCTAAAGACCATAAATAACAGAAAATGTCCTGACATTGGAACAGCAATTCTGACAAAATTTATGGTGAAAGCAATGGAGGTTCTCACTCATAATTTACTCTACAGCTGATACATGCAGGACCCGGTGATTACAAATATTCTGTATCAAGACTCCTGGGTGCTTGTGCTAGAAGCAGTAGTGAACTTTTCCTCCTCTTAGGAAAAGCTGACATTTAAAGAAATGTAAAATGTTTGAGAGAACTTTGATTGGAAATCCATTATGAATGGGAATTTATTGAAGGGGGTAAAAGGAGACTAGTAACAGAAGAATAGGAAAATGTAAATTAATATAACTTGGTTAAATAAACCAGTAAAAAAGACTAATCCATATTAAGGTGGGAAATATGATAAAACAAGAGGTGGACCCGCGATACTCGCGGGGGTGGGGTGGGGAGGGAGGCAGAGCTGCAAACGGCGGCTCTACTGGGGGGGAATGGAGAAAAAGCCGCAAGGGGTAAGGGGTAGAGCGGCGGCTCTAGTCTTCTTCCTACCCGTTACTTTCTGCCATGGATGCAGATACCGACCGCCACCGCCGACACCCCCGCCCCCTTGCCGCCAGACACTTGCCCGGGAGCCCGCGCAGCAGCCCCTCGGCCTCCATGGCTAGCTGAGCTGCTGCACGTCACACCCGCCCCCGTTCCGGAAGGTAAGGAATTGCACCAGCCAGGCCGGGAGGAAGGCGCTCAGAGCTGCTGCTTCTGGGGGCGGGACTCAACAGCCATCCTGGATCGCCTGGCTCTCCGCCCGCCCTTTCCTCCTCGGCGCATCGTGGGCTGCTCGGCCCTTGCGGTTTGCTCTCCTTTCCCCCCGCCCCGGCTCCTTTTTCTCCTCCCCCTGCCGGCTCGCCGCTTACCTTCCCAGCGGCGACGGCGTCTGCGGCGGTCGCAGAACGTCCCCTGCGCATGTGCAGGGGACGCTCTGTGAGTTTCGGGGGGATTTAAACATCCCCCCAATTTTTTTTCACCATTTAGGATTTTTGTGCACACGTGGGGACTGCCCCACGTGTGCACAAACCTCTCCCTGCCCCCCAAGTGCCCCCAAAGTGCAGATATAGATATCCGCACAGACGGGGGCACTTCACTATTAGATATATAGATTACTGAGCACCTTTTTAAAAACATCAGCAACTAAAGAAAGGGTTTTGAAACTACTGGTCTTTCTAATGTTAAGACTGCAACAAACATCAAGAGAACCATTTTAGAGAAAAGTAAGGATTCCTAAATGCTGTCACAGTACCAAAACACACAAAAGTGAGATGCTCATCTTCTGATGACATCTGTCTTGGTTGTATTTGAAATATAATGAAGACAAAATTATACAGCAAGATCTGTACATCAGCTGAAACCATGAAAACAAACTCGTGAGTTGGTTGTTTTTAAGAGGACAAGCTTGGTGTCACAGATAGACTGGGAAGACCCTCTGCTCACTTGGAGGACTTGGGCAACTCAGCTGTCTCAGCCTGACCTCTCAATCCATAAAATGGATACCCCCAGAGCTACCTGAAGGAAGTGCACAGCAAAGACATGATCAAATAGGATATAGGTATCCAAACACCTGGACAAAAATTAAACTATTCTAAGTATTTTGTCCATCTTCTGCAGTAATACTCCAGAAGTGACTGTTAAGATCAGAAGAGAAATGGAGTCCTTTCAAAATAGTTTCTCTTGCCGAGGCCATTGTTTGCATTATCTAAGAATGGGCTAGAATGCACCACATACACAGGAGACAAAAGCAGCAGATCTTCCTTCCAAGGAGGTTGGCTGTTTTAGTGTCTTCATGAAACGTGGTACCTGTTAAACTGCCCAGCTTGACGCATAACTCCCTGCAACAACTGCCCATGGAACTCACCTACCAGCTGGAAGAAACCGGAATCGCTAAAGCAAACTAGTTATAAATACGTACTTGAACTGCTTGCTCAACCATGGGCTGTGTTTTAAGATTATTCACACTACTTTTCTGACAAATGTCAGTGTCTTAAGATTTCTGTTACAAGAGAGAGAGAGAGAGAGAGAAACAAATCTCTCAGGGGAAAGCAAGTAACATGAACTGACAGATCATACAGTTGTGACGGAACAGCAAACTTACTCAAACGAGTGGCAGAAGAAGTCCACAAACAAGGTGTGAAATAAGAGAGACACTTACTTCTTCTTCATCCGGTTCTGTCTCCTCTGTTTCCACAGCAGACATATTTGTGACTGGCTTGTTCCAGGCCAACTTCAGGTCTTGTCCTTTGAATCGAGCCCCATGGACAGCGGCCTAAAGAGAACAATATTCTCTATGAGCTCTCCTTCAGAAGGAAAATGTGAATTCTGTGACTGGCAGCCCATCACTACAGACACTAAGGCCACAACCAAGATGGCGCGGCAGGTTGTTTTCCCCCCACCGAGGCACAGATCCAATGAAGTTATTGAGAAACAGGTTCAGGACAGACATAAGGAAATATTTCTTCACTCAATGAGTGATTCAACTGTGGAATTCACTGTCAGTGGAGGTAGTGGTGGCCACAAGAACTTTAAGCTTTAAAAGGGGGTTAGATGGATGAGAAATTCATCAATAGCTACTGGCCATTGCAGCTGACCAGAGCCACCATCCACAAAGGCAGCAAATCTCTGAATACCAGTGCTGGGGAGGGGGCAGCATCAGGGAAAGGTGTTGGCTTCTATGCCCTGTTTGTTTGTCCCACTAGGACAACTGGCTGGCCACTGTGTGAACAGCCGCCCTAAGCCTGCATTGCGGGGAGGGCAGGGTATAAATGTGATTAATAAATAAAATAAATAAACAGTATGCTGGACTAGATGGCCCACTGGTATGATCCAACAAGCTCTACTTATGGTCTTAACTGTTGTGATTATTTCCATGCACTCAGGGTGGTCTTGTATTTCTAGAACAGCATTTTACTATGCAACAATTTTTCTTCTTCTTCTCTGAAACTGAAGGACTATCACAAACTAGTAGTTTGTGACCCAGCACACAGGTTTGTGGCTCAAAAGGGGGAAAACTCCACTGGGATCTGTCTCCATTCCACGGGGCACATAAGACAGAATTATTCTACCAGGCATTCCACTGATGTAATTTTGGTGGATTGTACCATCACCGCTGCAGTCTGCAGTGTTGGAGTTTTTAAACTGGATTTTATTCAAATTATGGTTTTATTATTTGTATTGTATTGTTGTATCACTGGCTGCCCTGAGCCCCATTCTGGGGGAGGGGCGGAACGAAAATCTAATAAAATAAACAAATAACTAGAAGTCCTTTGGCATGCTTCTAGTGGCTCAGTGGGTTCTGTTCTAGTTTGCAATGCAAGTCTTTCTCTGGGACTCTACAGGCTCGTCAGAACGTTGCCAAGAGTTTTGTTTTAAAGAAGACTGAGGAGGAGGGGAAGGAGATTGGATTTATACCCTGCCCTTCATTAAGAGTGGCTTACAAACTCCCTTCCCTTCCCCTCCCCACAACAGACACCCTGTGAGATAGGTGGGGCTGAGAGAGCTCTTTCGAGGACTGCTCTTGAGAGAACAGCTCTGAGAGAACTATGGCTTGCCCAATGTCATCCAGCAGCTGCAAATGGAGGAGTGGGGAATCAAACCCAGTTCTCCCAGGTCAGAGTCCACACACTTAACCACTACTCCAAAGAAACATGAATACAGATGTATTACTAATTACAAGTTATTTTAGAGCTTACAAACAAGCATATAAACCCATTTGAAAGCGTTGGCTTTTTTTTTTTAAAGCATCAAGCGCTGATGCATCAAATACAGATGAACGTTAACAAGTCCTGAATTACTTTGAAATGCAGGTAACATACTGTTCTGAGCAACTAATTGTTAACTGGACAATGATCTCATTGGCGTTTTGCTTTTGAAATACTGATTATTTTTAATCTCCACACATTATTTCTACTAGCCCAAACAATGAATTTTGAAAACAGCTGATACAAAAAAAAATTAAAGTTAGTGAATATAACTTATTCTGCTGAAAAATGTTCCATTTGCCGCAAAGGCTTGGTAATTGAAATGTAAAAAGAAAAAAATTTAACCTATGGGATATTCATGCCTCCTTAAGTACCAGATGCATTAAGTGGCTGCTTTGGAAATAGTATGTTCAAATTAAAGTAACATGAACTAGCATAAATCAGCGTTAGCAACATTCCGAAATAACTGCCATGGTCACAAAAGATTTATAGTACAATCTGAAAGTACAGCATAATGTGAAATGTGGAAACAATTACATGTTCAATGACATCTGAACATGAATTGTGTGATATTAAAGTCCCCAGGTATAAATTTTAAATCTGTACATATAAATTTATGATAAATTTTAAAAGATTCCACGCCTATTAAAATGCAGCTGGGGGGGGGGGCTGTCCACCGTCTCATCACAATGTCACACAACTGGAATTTTTAAAAGATGCTTATGTGTGACATTTGGGTTCAGAAATAACTTGTACTCTTTGAAAGAAATTACTGCTACATAAAAATGCAACATTTTATGACTAGGGAATCCTCCTCCCCTCTCCTACCTAAAAAGTGAATGACTATAAACCTTTTTCGTTCAAGGCAGTAAAACATTAGCTACCATTACTTGAAAGAGAGCTTAAAAAAAAAAACCTATAGCTGTTTCACAGATCAATCTTTATTGCCAATTACAAATTTAAATTATAATTTACTAACGAGTAGAAAACTACAGATATGAGCTATAAGTCTGAACTTTTTTTAGGTCTCAGTTTATTAGTTAAGGATTTTTAAAATTCTTTTTCAAAAACTGCCCCACCACTGCGTAACACACAACTCTAAATCTCAAACACTCCAAAATGTTTAGAAGACGTTTCCATCCCTTCATTGCGCATGGCATATAGGCATAGCACAGGGTACCTTTTCAGGCACTCCAGCGGTTAAAATTCCCGCCCCCCATTCCAAATCGCTCAAAGTAATCCATTCCTCGGGAATTCTATATAAAAAAGCTTGTTTCACAATTTAACAGGGAACTCCTATTAACAAGTGACTGTAGCAGTAATATTCCACCGTGAAATGGTGAAAGTTCTTCCAGAGGTTCAAGTTTTACAGTCCTAGCATTCACAAACTGCAAACAAAAAATCCGTGCCTTAGAGCAGATTTGCATAATGCATATTTTCTGCTCATTCTTAGACTTCAATTAAAACCCAAACGAAGCCACAAAAAGCTTCAGTGGATTAAAAATTGCTGCAGCAGTAATTAGGAGCACTACTGATAGTAATGGAGAAATTAATGATTTCAAATGCCTAGACTCCCAACAGCTAAAAGACCTGTGGATGACCACTTTTCTCAATGCTCGTCCTCGCAGACAACCCCCCCCCATGCCATTCTCCCTAAACTGATATGCAAAAAGAGGCAATCTTTCAACACACTCATATTATGTGAGATGTTCGGTTTTCACTTTTTCTTCCGTAACTTAAACAGAATTTAACCGTGAGTTGAAGCAAAGCGGGTATAATTAACTTACAGCAGGAAGGCAGCCGTTCTGTTCAATACTTTAAACACACTTAAATTCAATGCTGCCTTCTAATAAGAAAACCCATTTGGAGAAAAAAAAGGAGAAAGAGACACTTACCGCTTCAGCTTCTGCTCTGGTCTTGAAAGTAATCACTGCATGGAGAGATGAGTCATCTATCTGGCAGTCTTCGATTTCACCATATTGCTTTTTAAGAGGAGGAAAATCATCAACTAGTTGAAATATTTCTCTGCTGTGCAATGTCTACAACAGTTCTAGATTGACGTGACCTTGTGACTTCCCGGAGTACTGTGCCAGTATAAGATGAAAAGGAGGAGGGAAAGAAGAGGCAGAGCCAAAAGATGGACTAAAAGGTAGCTGAAGTACTCGGTGTATGAAAGTTCAACCAAAAGAGAGCTGCTTTTTGATCAATTAGAGCATACACCTGATTTATAACATTGGGAACAATCGCTCAAGAATTTCTTACACTGCCTACGCTTGAATTTTGATCAGGGACTCCGTTTGACCTGGACTTTAGATGAAAGGCAGCTAGAACAGATTACGAAAGGCCACTTTACATTCTGTGTGGTAAGAAGCTAAACTGTGAACGAAAAAAGTAAGCCTCTTTTTTTCATGAACGCATGGGGCTTCCTAAACCATTTAACTGCAGCAAATGACATCTGAATCATTTTCCCAAACACTATTCCCAATGAAGGGGAAATCATGGTAAGCACCCATTAGTTGCCCTTCTTTGACTAATCACTGCTCTTACTACATTCTTCACCATAGGGAGACAAGCCCTGACCTGGATAGCCCAGGCCGTGTGCTGTTCCCCCACCCTGAGGTGTCCTGGGGGAGCCACGTGTGAACTGATGTGGCTACTGACTGGCGGATAGCCCAGGCAAGCCCAATCTCGTCAGATCTCAGAAGCTAAGCAGGGCCAACTTTGGCAAATATTTGGATGGGGCACATCCCAAGAATACCAGCCCTGGGAGGCAGAGGCAGGCTATCAAGCCACTTCTCTGAATGTCCTCCATACTCCAGTAGGAGTCGCCAGAGGTCACCATCACATTCCAGGCACAGGCCTGCACACACAATGCAAAAATACCCTCCAAAAATGTCAATCACCAAAGGAAGACAGGAATTTATTTACCTACTTCATTTATATCCCACCTTTCTCCCCCCCCCCCATGGGGACCCAGAGAGGATTACATTGTTCTCCTCTCCTCCGTTTTATGCTCACAACAACCCTTCAAGATAGAAATATTTTTGACAGACACAGCTGACTAAGTTTAGTTCTGGTTGTAAGAGCCAGATTCTCCAGCCCCCGTTCCTGCATTTCACATCCTGTCCTGTGCTTATTTTCACACACTTTTTTGATCTGTGCAAACAATAGACTGGCATTTGTAAAACATACAGAATCCACAGCTGTTCAAGATGAAACCTGAATTTACATCTCTTTGACTGAATATTCTATTTTCATTGCTCACAACTATTCTATGGCTAGTCAGACTGCCAACACTAACCTCCCTGGTGCAATCAGAAGAACAGTGACATTTCTTTTTTTCCCCAAAAACAATTTATTAGGATATAGTAAAAAAAGTTCAAACATACTTCAAAACTTATACAGTTATATATCCATCCCTCCTCCCTTCCCCCCCCCCTTCTCGGCTTCCCACAGTGCTCCAACCTCCAGCCCAATTCTTAAATTTTCTCCATACCTCCTTTCCCCCTTATTCATATCCACAGGTAACTTATCCTTCAACTGTTATTCTTATACATTTATCTATTTTCTACTATCTTTTAATTTTCAATCACTCTCAAAGCAAAGTAAATTGTCCTTCACATCCCAGTAAGAAGAACAGTGACATTTCTACATACCGCAAAATGAGGAAGGAGATCTTCTCGATCATTCTCTGTAAAAGCAGAGATCTCAAGCGCCCTAGGACGGTGATCCACCACAGCATGATTGGGAACGCCTCTTCCTCGGCCACGGCCTCGCACGCCCCTACCTCTGCCACGTGATACACCCCGGCCTCGAGTATGAACTCCTCTACCACGACCTGAAGAAAGAATTCCTCGTTTCGCGGCCTAACAAGTAACAAGAGTTAACATTTATGTATCACTTTGATGTGCTTCAGAGACTGGGCTGCATGCAAAGGACTGCAAGTGAAAGGAAGCTAAGCTTCTGCTTGTGCCAAATGGTTGTCCAAGATCTGCCCTAGTGGAAGTACATCTTTAGACTTGGTCATGCTACCCCTCTAGTGTGAGGTATGCAACAGAGTGGAAGAGAACTTCTGCTTGAGGAAGGCCACATTTGAATCCAGACCCCCTCCCTTTGTAATGCTTACAACCACCCAGGAGGGCAGGTCAGTATTCTGTATTACAGATGGACAGTTGAGGCAGAGTTATTTGTGTAAGGCCAACTGACTAAGTTAGTTCAAACCAGTGACTACCCAATGTGTAGCTCAGCTGTTACACTGCACCAGATTTCTCTTGAGGTTTTTCTTTCTTGTTCTCTAAAAGTCGTATCCAAAATAATTTCTCAGTGAAGTTTCATAGTATGAGCAAACAGCCACCAGTATTACAGGCAAACTGACAGTGATGGGATTAAAAAAAAAGTATGTACTACAGGGCACGGGGGGGGGGGGGGGGGGAGGTAGGAGGTAGGTAGCACCAAGAAGTATGTTCATTCAAAGTAAGCAGTTAAAACCTAAGGATGGGTCTTAAACAAAAAGTCCACTGATGGATGACTGCCTTGCAGTAATATGCTTCATAACCACTATCATGATTTCAGACCAACTGCCTGTTTTACAAAAACCTGATTTCAAACTACAAAAGCCCCCCCCCCCCAATTCAGCCAACTTTTACCAGCTAGATTAATGAATTTATTTGAAATTCATAACTGAATAGGGAAACTGCAAAAAGGTTTTCTGTTGTGAAAGACCACTGTTTAAAGGAGGGGAAAGCAGGATCTGTGAGATATATACAAATGCCCATTAGTTGATGTTGACAACTGCCCCAAGAACCCTCAATTCTTTCTTTAATAAGATGTAGAGCAATCAAAAACACTTTGCAAAGTACTAAAGGAAAAGGATCCAACAGCAGCAGAGTATGGATGGAGATAAGAAGCCATGTTTGAAACTCACCTACATCCTATATCATGCTCCCTATACAAGACACCTCACTTTCCTAGCATCTCTTGTCCTCAGAGACTTTTAAACCTTTTACAAGCCTGCCTTTCAATTTCATGTAATCTGTAATCTCTTGGAATCTGGTAACGAATGCACAATTTTGCTTTGGTCTGGAGATGGTCCATATAAGCCCCATTTTGGAAACCCTGTATTCACAGTTGTACAGTAGAAAGACACACATGCCTGTCATATACATCGGAATAACAACCATACCAAACAAGAGTTGTTTGAACTCTCTGCGCACACTTACGACAAATCAATGTGCTCCACCAAACACAGTCTGTTTTCCATTCCCCCATTCCCTGCAACAACTTGGCAGCTACTGACACACCCTTGTACTGAGATTTACTATTGGCAGAACACCTAACAGGGCAGCAAATGTACATATATGAAGCTGGGCATAATAAAGGCACTTACAAAGAGATAGAATATGAAATTAATGACATCGGCATTGATTTGTAGTTATTTTCATAAAGTTCTTAAACACAAATCTAGAAAAAAAGTTATCTATAAAACTCAGAGTGCTTTAAAGAAAACTAGGTAACTGTTTTGGAAGCCTTGACTCTCTAACATGCAATTCAATAATTCCAGGATTTACACTACCCCATTTAACATGTGTTCTTCAAAAGGCAGCAGATGTTTAAAAGAAAGAAATTGCAAGCAGCGTGGCCACAAGTTCTAAATACCAACAGCACCATCTATGGGGCATGTATTAAAAACGCATACATCTCACAAATAATAGAAAATGGCTTCAGGTGGGAAGCCGTGTTGGTCTGCAGTAGAGGAGCAAGATTTGAGCCTAGTAAAACATCAGGGACCAACCAAATTTTCAAAGACTCAAAGCTCTCTTTGCCAGACAAAAAATGGGTAAACATTAGGGATGTGCATTCGGTTCGTCTGAACCGAATGCACCCCCGAGAATGGTCCATTCGGGCCCCTTTTGGGCTGCTGCAGGCCGATTCAGGTTCTCTGATCTGAATCGGCTTGCCGCCGAATTTCGGTGGCAATTCGGCCCCATTATATCCCATGGGCCACTGAAATCAATGACAAAAACATAGGGTATGTTATGGGGGCTGGAGGGGAGGGGGTTTGAGGGAGAGGCTCCAAACTCGCAGGGTAGCTGCTGGAGCCTCTCCCCAAGATACCCACCACGTTTCAAGAACATTGGACCAGGGAGTCCAATTCTATGGGCCCCCAAACAGGTTGCCCCTATCCCCTCCATTGCTCTCTATGGTGGGGAAAAGTAACTTTTTTCCCACTATACAGAACAATGGAGAGGATAGGGGCAACCTGTTTGAGGGCCGGTAGAACTGGACTCCCTGGTTCAATATTCTTGAAACTTGGTGGGCATCTTGGGGAGAGGCTCCAGCAGCTAACCTGCAAGTTTGAATTTTTTTTTCACATCCCTAGTAAACATACAAAGGGAGGTAACATTCCTATTTTAAGATGAGAGCCACTCTTGTATTTTTGCACATACAGAGATTCCAGAGAAAAGAGCAAGAGTCCACTAGCACTTTAAAGACTAACAAAATTTGTGGCAGGGTATGATCTTTCGTGAAGAAGTGAGCGGTGACTCACAAAAGCTCCTACCCTGCCACAAATTTCGTTAGGCTTTAAGGTGCTACTGGATTCTTGTTCTTTTCTGCTGTTAAGTAAAGGTTCCCTTACTCAAAAGCCAGTCGAATCAGACTCTAGGGCTGCGGTGCTCATCTCCATTTCAAAGCCAAAGAACCAGCGCTGTCCGAAGATATTTCCGTGGTCATGTGGCCGGCTAGACTAAACACCAAGGCGCACGGAACGCTGTTACCATCCCACCAAAGCAGAACCTATTTATCTACTTGCAATGTCTTGCTTTCGAACTGCTAGGTTGGCAGGAGCTGGAACCAGAGACGGGAGCTCACTCCGTCATGTGGCACCCTGGGTCTCGAACTGCTGAACTACTGACCTTCCACAGCCTGCAGTTCAGCATCTTAACCACAGACAGATTAACACGGCTACTCGTCGTGATCAGATTCCAGAGACAATGCTATGTTAGACTGCTGCATCCAAAGTAGTGCCTGCTGGCACTTTAAAAACTAACATGTTTATTGTAGCACAAGTTACTTTAAGTGAGAGCCTACTTCTTATACTATGCAGGTAGATGCTGATTTGAGTTTTTAAAAATGCATTAGACAATTTCATAATTTCAGTAAGTTTTCAAGTACACTTACTTCAAGCTGCAGCTCTGTGTACCTTCTTCTTAGTTCGGTGACTTCTTCCCCAGCCTGCATCTTCTTGTACAAGTCCAGCTCGGTGTCCAGTAATTCTTTTTGCATCTAAGGAGTTACTGGAGCAATTTAGTATGCATTTCTCAAGACTTAAATGGAAGGACACACAATTAAATAACCAGATCCCAATGTGCATTGCAACACCGCCAAATTCAAAGGGCCAGGGTTCTCAAGCAGTATATGATCTCCTGGTGACGGAAGATGGCCAGCTGAACTCAGGGCTCTCTTGAATTCAGCATGCCCAGAGACTGGGTACTATGTGGGTTTGAGAAATAAAGTTCAAGAATTGCATCTGAGCACAACCCCCCCCCCAAGCCAGGTGAATGAAACAAGCTTTCACTTTTTACAGCCTGATTACAGATCCCATCCCCCCCCAACGAGAAAGATGGATTATCTAAGACTCCTTGTCTAAGTATAAAACAGGTACTAATTCAAGGACTGTTCTTTGAATAATCTTTGATTACTGCTAGTCAGGTAAAATCAACTATTAAATTACTCATCTCTTGTTGGTATGTTCAAAACCAATAATACTTTTTGGTCACTGAAGTGAAGTTATACAAACATGATAAACACAATCTTTCTCAATTTGTTTAACAGTGTTAGAATAATATAAAGGAGAAAGAATCAGATTAATGGAATGTGAGAGGAACAAGATCGGGATACCTGTGTCTTTGTTTTCATGTTCTTCAGCGGAGTGGGTGCTGGGGCAGAGACCCCTTTCAATTCGTCCTTCAATTTGGTGATGCTGTTGGTCAAAGTCTCCAGAGTTTTCATGATTTCTGCCTTGTCCTCTGACTTCATGTTTTTATTCTTCTCCAGCTTTGAGATGAGCATCTATTGAGATTACAACTATTACTTACAGGAATCGTCTACTGGAGTGCTCTTTCTCAACAATATTTTTGATAAAAGTTATTTTTTCTTCAGTTATGTTAAGCATAAAGAAGTATATTTTGACCACCTAAGTTACAAAACATTCCTCGTTCTACCAGTCACGGGAGAAGTTGATAAATATCCAACTAGCTCAAATATCAGCTGGGAAGGGGAGACTAGACACCAATTATATTCTGATGCAGAGGTCAAAGAACTGTCACATGCAATATGGTTAAAGACGGGGATGTAAAAAATCTCTGCTACAAACTCCTGCCACTTGCTTCTGAAAGATTCCTACAGAATTTTAAAACTGTGATCTCAATCACACGGAGACAATACACTAGTGGAGGTGCTTTCTTCCAATACACGAGTCTTTTACATCCAGGGAAGGCTCTTCCCTTAGTACAACACACCCTCAGGATTCAACCCTATGTCTCTTTCTTCCTTTTTGAGAAAACCTGGGAGAAAAAAGGGTTGGGAGGACCCATCGAGAAGTCCATAGTTGAGACCATGAAGTCAGCTTGGAAAATGTTGCTATTTGACTTGTTGTGACCATTTACTGCTGGTGGTTGTTGAGAGCCACCATGGTGTAGTGACTATCAGACTAGAATCTGGGAGAGGTAGGTTTGAATCCCCACTCTGCCACATAAACTGGCTGGGTGGCATGGGGCCAGTCACACACTCTCAGCCTACACTACCTTACAGGGTTGTTTGTAAGGATAAAATGGAGGAGGAGTACAACAATATAAGGTACTTTGGGGTCCCCATTGGGGAGAAAGGTGGTGTATAAATGAAGTAATTAAATAAGATTTCAAATAAGATTTCAAATTATTAAAAGAAAAACAATATTCGCCTTGTAATGAGACCAAATTTTCACTTCTTTAAAGTGAAAATTTGGAACTCTTTCCCCAAGTTTTGTCAACCTGTCAATCTTCTTGCATCAAACCTATGACTAAGAGTCAGTCAGGCAACTCAAGAATCATTTCCAAACTCAAAAATTAAATATTTAAAAATTCCTGGAGACTCCACCTACTAACATTGTAAACATAAGAAAATAGCTTTTCTGAACTGCTTGAATACAGAATTTTGTTATGACCACGTATGACACATCACAGCTGTTTTTCAGCAGTGGTCCAACCACAGAATATAAATACGTTACCTTTTGTGTTTCAATGTGTTTTTCTAAAATCTCTTGCTTTTTCTTCCTCACGTCTTGCTGAAGTCTTAGTGCCTCCTGTAAACATACACCAAAAAGGTAAAATCTCAATATGTCACAAGAAAGACTAAAGCAACCCCAACTGTATCGTCTACTAAACCTAACTGGCTAGGTACACAGGGTTTAAAATTTCACCCCCTTAACCATGTCCCTTTCATAATCTGGGGTGACTGTTATCCACAGAGAATAAGCAATAATGCGGGAAAGATAGATTTAACTGGATTGTAGGACCTTTAAATAATGTGGGGGGTGGCAGAGGCTTTCCCCTATTTACAACCAACTCAAAAATACCAGGATGAACCAACACAGCATACAACTGCAGTAGATACAATTAGATCATTTAACAAATAATATTTTTAGACTACATGCTTGCAGTATATCTGTCTCTTTGGACACTGCTTATGTTTTAAGAAATTATGTTGTCATACTAAGCAGCAACACAGAAATTATATATGAATTGTTGAAAACTGTCCAGAACCAACTATAGACTCTAAATCCATAGGGAAAAGCTGCAATATCTGTCCCATTATTCTTCACTTAAACTGATTCAACAAGGACACATTTACGCACTTGGGAAGAGTAATGTGTTATTGGTGATGCAAAGACTCAAATAGTTCACTAGTTTATACATTATGGAAGTTTGTCTTTCACAATGTAACATTACGCAGCTCTGTACATTAATTTCCTTTTATGCCAGACATCAATAGATGGGTTCCTATATTTTGAGATCAAGAAGATTTACAAGCATTATGAGTAAAACATGCCTTTCTCAGAGCTTAAAAATAATCTCGGAATGCTACTATCACTTCAAATACAAATTATTTCTGATTTATAGGTGCTAAAGCTCATAATTATTTTTTTTTAAGTAAGTACTTTCTGCAGGGCAAGTAACAATCATCAGCATTTGGAATTTTTAGAATATTTCACTGAATCATTCTATATCTTCTCCTTCCTTTTTTTTAATTCCCCCCCACAACTGACTGTTTTTGGGTATAATAATAGTGTGTCAGTTTTGAAAAACATATAATTACAAATAATGGTTTGAATCCCAGCCACAATAACTGAAAGAATCAAGCTTTTCTGCTACTCCCAACAGAAACCCTTGCATCCCCCCAAAGAAGTCACTTCTGAAGGTCAAGGGACCCTTGAAAATGAAGTGTGAAGCAGCACTGGAGAAGGGGGGCACACAGACACTGCACAATGGGGGGGGTGAAAATTGGAGATCCCTTGATGAAAATGGAAATGTCTTCTACTTGGACTAAGACAAGTAAATCCAGTAAAATATTAAAGCCAGCATTGAAGCCAGTAAAATATTAAAAAGCTGACTGAGGAAGGATCTACGAATTTGAAGCTGAGTTTCAAAATGCCAAGCTTCAATTTCCTAACTTCTGTTTCTCGTAAGGTAAACGTAACTAAAACAGATGGAAAGAAAACCTGTTATGCACTTCGTAGAGCCCCCTCACTTTCTGAAGTAAACATTAGAGAAACAAAGTCATTGTAACGTCTATGGATCTCTCATATAACTACTACTTTACTCTGGACCCGCCTTACACACCTAAAATTCTTAGAGCAGTAAAACACTTGTTCTACCCCCATGATCTTCAAAACCACATAAGAGACACCTCGGAGGTAAAGGAGAAGTGCATCGTCCACAGAAGTGTAAACAACCAGATTTCATAATCCAGTATAAACTGCTAAAAACTTTACCTCACAACTTTAACATTAAAGACATATGTGGAAACTACAGGAAGTCTTATTTGTTCCCAGGTGACATTGTCAACAAATTCTGGTAAACATATGCTAACATGGATCCTGGCCTCCAACACAGAATCACAAATCATGTGATCTATGGCTGCCACTTTCATGCATTTATCGTTAAAGGGAAATGGAAATATGTGCCATGTCATGTTAATGTGAACCCAGTTAAATTGTTTTTTGCATAACTGAATATTATTTTAATCTGAGATTGAACTACTTTGAGGTTTAATTTTAATCAGTGGTTGCTTTTAGGGATAAAGCTGTCAAGGCTATTTGCTGAAACAATAAATGTGATTTGAACCCAAATTTAGAAAACTTGAAAAACTCCCTAAATAATCAAGCTGACAGTCTATGATGAACATCAGATTTGTAAGAGACAATTTGTGTTTTGACAGATTAATACAAATCCATAAACTGTTTTAGAAGAAAGTCACAGAAATTCTCAATTACTGTACTATTTCAAGGTCCTATTTTAAAGGCAAATCACTGATGGTTCCCTGAGGTGCACTGTGCCACCTACCCTATCTTCTACCCAAACTGACTAAGCATTAAACTGAAAGGAGAGGCCGTGCAGGAGGAGAAGCACAAATGGTCAAGTCTGAGGAGGAAAGGGAAAAGTTCCATATATCCAGACAAATACTGACTTGCGGTTAGGTCCAAAAGGGAGGAATAGGAGAAACTGCAGGAGCCTTCCAGGGTCCTAATTATAGTTAGTAGACCAGGAACATTACATGTACACCAGACCTCAACTAGTGTGACAAATGCATTCTTCACCAAAATAAAGTTTGAGTCCAGTGGCACTTTTAAGACTAACAAAAGTTTTATTCAAGGAATAAGCTTTTGGTCCTTTCCGCACTTAAATCTCATCCCTGGTTTTATCAGAGTTCAACCTGCGACACAATGCCTTGCATTTATCCCTGGTTGTAACAGCATCCATTTATCCCGGGGCCAAGTGTGTGGCAAAACCAGGGTGACCTCAATGTATAGTGGAAACGAAAAATACCCCGAGATAATGACGGGGGTGAACTTGAGTGTAGTATAGAATGTAAGTTTGGGGACAAGGTTGAACCACGATTTAAGGTCAAGTGTGGAAAGGACCTATGTGTGAAAGCACACTTCTTCAGATAAAGTGAAACAGAATTTCCTCAACCATTACATATAGGAAGCAAGGGGGGGGTTAGTTGCCAGGAAGGGCCAATTAGAGACAAGACAGAAAGAGAAACAAAAATGGAAATTACCAGTCCATATATACAGGTAGAGGGCGAGCAGTAAATCATCATACAGCATAATGGAGATGTTTAACAGATTCAAGGATCAAACTGGGATAATAAGCTTAGTTTATATGACTACCATTTTTGTCTCTGTCTTGACTCTAATTGGCCCTTCCTGGCAACTAACTCCTCCCCTTTCTATATGTAATGGTTGAGGAAATTCTCTTTCACTGTATCTGAGGAAGTGTGTTTTGCACATGAAAGCTTATACCTTGAATAAAACTTTGTTGGTCTTAAAGGTGCCACTGGACTCAAACTTTGTTCTGCTGCTTCAGACCAACATGGCTACCCACCTGAATCATTCTTCACCAAAGTAACTCTTCACCCCAATACCATAACTATGATTATAACTCTAGGTTGATTATAGTTAAAAAAAACTGATTATCAAAGTTTTTACCTAGCAACCTTTCCGCCTCTACCATAAAACCCCAGGAGCAAGAAGAGTTATTCAAATAGAATAAAAGTATAGTAAGATAATCACTCCCCCCCCCCCCAATAATGAAAGCAGTTTTAGATTTAGCCTGTACAGGATACACATATCAGTAAAGCTTCTCAAACTGTGACTAGTAAAAATATATATTTTTTAAAGACTAGGCACAGGTAAACAGCTGTTTGAAATCAAACTCAGTCATTCCAAATACCTACTAGCATGTCACAAACTTCTAAATAATTATTTCTATTTTAAGGAGAAGCAGAGTTAAATTTACCTGTTTTTTCTTCTGTGCTTCACTAGAGTCTAGCACGGAAGCGTTTACAACAGGCAACGTTTTCTGAGCTGCCTTCAAAGCAGCTGGGTTATAGACTGTTTTTGTCAAGCCAGTAGAAGTAGACAAGACCTACAGAAGGAAACCGTGCTAGTAAATCGACTCTCAAAAGACTGATTCAAATACAGACTTTTCTCCAGGATAGATACTTGTGGCTCTATACTTGTGAGGGCAACAAGAACATGCACATCTGACCCCCCAAAAATGTTCTAGGTAAGGACAGGCTACTAGAAGGTCAAAGACACATGCTGTGGAAAAACGACAGAAATTCGAACCTGAGCTCTATCAGCCTGAGTGTATGGGGCACCTGACTGAGAAAGAGAGGAAGCAAACAGTGTCACCTGTAAAGGCAGAGATTTGAGATTCTCATGTAAGTGGGCAGGTTATACGGGTTACAAATTCAGAGGTCTACTGAGTGTATCTCACAAACACGACAAGCTGCAGTACACATTTCAAAGAGAGTACCCATGATTTTTGAGCTAACAGTAAGTCACTAACAGGCTACAGGAAGAGCCACACCGGTTGCCTATGGAGGATAAGGAATGTGTGTTTGCCTGGTTAAAACCTAACAGATCACTCGAACAAGCAAGGTAAGCCATGTTGCAACATAGGAAGGTAGTACTCGTTCAATATCACTGTGAAAACTGACTACCCTACCTGGCAGGTTAATCAGTTAAATCAAAATATCTAAGCAAAACACTGAAGTGTATTCTTCTATCTTAGGGTTGGTCGTTTGATCAACCCAAACAAGTTTTAGACAACTGACTGCTAAACATTATCCATTTCTTTAATTTTATGAGAGTAAAACTACTTTAACCATTAGCAAGACTGATACTTTTTCCAGATTACAAAACCAAATTGGTTACAACTTATTTATTAGATTAGAATATGTATACTACACCTTTCCCATTGCTCAAGGTGGCTTTACAGTGAAACAATTAGCTTCTTAACAATACAGTAATTAATTCTAACAATTTTAGATAGGGTTTGTATAAGTGTAGATGATTTACTGAGCAACTTTTTGTTTGGGCCTTTGTCCTAGCATATCATGATGGTCAGTCGGGGGAGGTGGGAATTAACACAAAAAGAAAGCAAACTGCAACAACTTTAAAAGAGAGGTGTGCTAAGTAGGAGACATCTCAGTTCTTCCTGTTAAGAGGTTTGTAGCTTTTAAATAACTGAGAAAAAAAATGGTCTTTCAAATTTTTGATCACTTTTTTCAATGGAAAAATAATTTGGGGGAACCATGACAGGCCAAATAGTTTCATCACCCAAATAAGAGGTGGGCAACTGACCAATGCACCAATCCTCTTTTGCTTATGGTGCCCCTGGAAATTCTAGCACTATAGCTAAGGAAGAAATCATCTTATCCTAGTAAATATTTACTATTTTATTTATTAAAACATTTATATCCCGCCTTTCTTCATGGTTCAAGGCAGCTTACAGTAATAGTTAAAAACATGATAGCGAATTTCCCATTGTTGAACAGAAGCTCACCAAAGATTTTAGTTCCTCTAAGCAATCCCCTAAAGGGGAGGGGGACACTCTGCTCTACAGACAGCCCCAACATACTCAAAAACTTCATTGACATTTAAAATATGCATCTTCTAACATTAGCAAGGATCCAAAAAGATGTACCTGATTGCTTGGGCATGATCCGCAAGATTATTATTGAGTTTTTCCTTTTGAGCAGCAAATCCTGGATGCCACATTACCACTGAAACTCCCCTCAGTTTCAAGATAATACTAGTCAAGAATATGGAGTGGCAAGAAACTGCAGCTCAGGAAGATGTAATATTACTGCTCAATAAACAAACCTAAAGCTTTCTCAGGCATACAAGTCATAAGGGTTTTTAAATTATTATTCAAGCCACTCTTTGCAGACATGTGGCGGGTCATGGAAACAAAGGGTTATGAGGTCCATTCTATAGCCAACCCAGTTGGCATAGCTGAACCAGAAATGCTTCCATGTTTTTTTAACCTAGATGCATGGACACATGGCACCCAGGTCATTCATGTGTACTGATCTAAGAAAAATAGGCAAAGTCATCCAATTAAGAATAGCAACATGCAAACTGATTAGCTTAAGATGCTGCACCTACTCCCAGCACCCTGTCACAGGCCAAACTAGATAATACTGCATCCCCAAGTCTGCTACATGGTACAGTCTGGTCTGGACTGAAGCAGAACAGAATGGATCTAGACAGGACCAGCTGGTCTCAACTGATGGGCTTATGCAGTGTCAATGCGAAACCAAGCTGGAAAGATGTGTGTCACACATCCAGACAAGCAAGCAAGGCAGAACAAAGCGCAGTATATCTCCTGCCAAGGATGGAGGAAACCAGGTGGCACGGCTAAGGTAGTCCCAAGTGTGTGAAGGGCTGTGGCTCAGTGGCACAGCAGCTCTTCACAAGCAAAAGGACTCTGAGATCTTCAGCTAAAGAGCTCAGACAGAGGAAAAGCCCTATCCCAACAAAGAGAAAATTCAAGCAAGGGATCCTCTAACACCAACACATATGCCATAGGCAATTTCCTGCATTACTATTTTGGCTACACTTCTTTCATAAACTTTCCACCCGAGCTCAGCTTCACACTGCTGAAACTAACCTGATCAAGCAAAAGCATGCCCTAACCATCTGGCTCTGGGTTCAAGAAGCTGTCTCACACATGCAGCAAACTTTGTCAGCACTACTGCAGATGGGTCTAATTACTTTCAGACTTCAGTCATCTGTTTTAAGATGGCATGCATCTACTTTGCATTCACACTATTGAAATACAGGATACGCAAAGCTGTACAGAAGCATGCTCATGAAACTGTAGATCTACAAACATATGTCGTGAATCGTGTCTTACCTTTTCAGTGGTGGGAGTAGGTGGCTTAGGCACAAACCCCAGTCTCTCCTTCACAGATAGTTTTGTTACATTCTATGAGAAAACACAAGAAATCAATAATCAGTAACATAATATTTTTTAAACTAAGCACATTACATTTGTAACTGCACGGTTTAAAGCAAGTATTAAAAAGCCCTTCTTAAAAACCTCTGAAAATACAGGGACTGTGTGCCATGCATGATCTAGGAGTTGCAAGCAAGGCAGCATTAACAAAAGGCCAGAAGAACAATTGTGAAGCATGGAACGAAGGTGGCGCCAGAGAGAAGATCTGCAACCCCGGCATCTTGCCCTGCCAAGTTTTGACTGTTTTGCAAACTGGCAACCCCCATGAGCCACATGGCCTATCCCAAGCACCACCCAAATTCTGAGTGGTGGAGACCTATCTTTTAATGGGCAGGTTCCTTCCTCTGCAGCTCTGCTCTCTCTCAATGATGAGTCTAGTAATTCTGGGCAGGTGCATTTTCTCTGGTGAATACTGGAAGCAGATCAGGAATTGTCACTGGCGATAAGAATGAGGCTCATTCTGAAGATGGCAGCTAAGCAGGCTCTCCGTTACTGAGACCTGGACTGGTATGTATGTCAAGAGTCCCATGGCTGGAACCTGTACAGCTTTGTGCCACCAAACCTCAATCTCCCAAAGTACTGGGTGTTTTTCACTAAGTCAACAGCCTCCAGGTGGTTGCCTGAGACCATGACATCAGGGGCAAGAAAAATCACTGGTAACATCACATGTTTTGTATTTGAAGATGCTGCCGGAGAAGAAGGAGATGGACACATGGCAAGGCTATCTTGGGATTTCAAGTTACTTCTAAGACACCCCTCAGTTTCAAAAGTGATTTGACATGGACTATCGATGGGGTCTGTTCTTCAAGTAAGACAAGTCCAAGACTCCCCTAGATTATATCTGGAACTTAGTTGCACATTTTTGCATCCTGGATCCCAGTGTAACAAAAGCCTAGAAAAAGTGATGAGGATGATTCACAAATGTTAGCTTACAGGCATTATTTGTGGTCAATAAGCCATCTTCTGTCCTGACCCAGATGGCCCGGGCTAGCCAGATTGCACCAGATCCTGAAAGCTAAGCAGGGTTGGCCCTGGTTAGTATTCGGATGGGAGACCACCAAAGAATGCTAGGGTCAGTATTAGGGGTGTGCAAAAAAAATAATAATTTGGCCCATTCGGATTCAGCCGAATCGGGCAGAATCAATTTCGGCTGGCAGTAAGACTCCCACATGTCAATTTCATCACTATCAACTGATTGGGGAGTCTTTCGACCAGCCGAATGTCAATTTCAGCCCCATTATATCCTATGGGCCATTGAAGTCAATGGCGAAAACATAGGGTTTTTCTGGGGGCTGGAGGGGAGGGGGCTTGAGGGAGAGACTCCAAACTCACAGGGTAGCAGCTGGAGCCTCTCCCCAAGATACCCACCATGTTTCAGGAACATTGAACCAGGGGGTCCAATTCTATGGGCCCCCAAACAGGTTGCCCCCATCCCCTCCATTGTTCTCTATGGTGGGAAAAATCTGAATCGGCCTGCAGCAGCCTGAAAAGGGTCCTAATGGGCCATTTTCGGGGGTGCATTCGGTTCAGACGAACTGCATGCACATCCCTAGTCAGTATGTAGAGGCAGAAAATTGCAATCTACCTCTGAATGTCTCTTGCCTTGAAAATGCTACGAGGTTGCCCTAAATTGGCTGCGACTTGATGGTACTGTGCACACACACACACACAAGCCATCTTCTCTTTTCATCCTCCAACATGTACAAAAGGTTCTACAGAGTTGTAGCATCATCTCTGTTGCCAACAGGAGTCTCAAAAAATTCCTTATCTTCGTTAAACCCCAGAGCAAAGTGTGAAAAGCCCCCCCCCCGCTCCCTCTGAAATTTGCTAAAAAGACAGCCCGAAAGAGGGGATTCTGTACCAAGACAAGTGAGGAAACGACATTTGCCAATGATCACTCTATGTGTCGATGGTTTATTAAGTCTGAGGCAAGTTGCTGTTGTTATCAAGTAACAATTCTTGCATGGGGCTGAGAATGAAAAAAAAAGCCCTAGAAACCAAGCTCCATAAATTAAAGCAAGCCTTTCAAACTAAAGATCTGCGTGAAAATTTAGCAGCGATTTCTTGACATTGCTGACACCGGATTCTGTTTGATGCCTCCTCTCCACAGGCATAAGAGGTAAGAGGGGTGAGTTTTGATCGCTTCTTCACTGCAGCTGCCCACTTATGTGGGCTTGAGCCCACCCCCAACACTGACTCTTCAGCTCTCACAGGAGGGTGCTGGGAGGAGCGGGGTGGGTGGGGATCTTCCTCCGTGTAAAACCCAAAATAGAGGGGGAAAATGGGGGTTCAGATTTATAGACACCTAACATTTTTGAAAATAAATATTACAGCCACCTGAACAGGTTCTGTAGTGGCACTCTGAGGTTCTGCAGGCTCCATGTTACTGACAGGTACCGGACCGAGTCGTTCCTTGACTGACTGCTTCACAACTGGCAAGATGGACTGCTGGACTAAAGGCTGTATTACCTTGAAAGGAAAATCAGATTGTCATAACCACAGTTCGAGATTTGATGCCAAGATGTACTGATCTCCAGACCTTTAAGTCAGATTCTCTAACTCTTATAATGCCCTAAATCAAGAACACTTGCCCGGTTGCCAGAAGACTTAAGATCAAGATCTGTTTCTACTACAATGACTGAAAGACCACTCAAATCTAAGAAAAAATGTAAAAAGATACTTGAAATCTAATGGCTTTAAACTAAATATTGTAAAAAGTGTGAACATACTCTGTGGAACCCAAGTTCAACAACGTAATTTATTCAGATACATTGCAAAAACTTCTAAATATATCCATGTTTTTGATATTTCAGCATGCTGCTGCACAGATCCACAGAAAAAGGCTTCTGCACAACCAGTACAAACCCATACCCCAAAGCTGTGTCTGTCTGAACTCTTTATTTTCAACAGGATGCACTTTGGATCATTTCAGTTCAAAACCGAAAACTGAAACTTGCAGATAGACCGCCGTGTTCTCACACACATCAGATCTTTGCTCAATTTCCCTTCTCTGGATTTTTTAAAAGCTCTAATGGCCAACTTTGCTGCTATTATTAATTTTCATTATTAGTGTCATTTTATCATTACTAAATTCCATTACACACCATTTTGAATATTTTCCATTTTAGCGAAAATATACCATTTAAAGGATACTTAAACAGAAGTTCACTAGGAGCTTAAAGAATTAATAACGTTTGTTAACATTTATTCCACCTCCATTTATTCCAGTTTACACTTGCATTAGTCAGAGCTCTGACTCATAAAAGCATATTTTGGAATAATTTATTAGCCTTTAAAATGCCAGTGAACTTCTGTCCGATTATGCTATGACAGACTAACGCTCCTCTGGAATTTATAGTACAACACCCACAAACAAAAATGTACTCCAAGGTTTCCTTCATGACTTAATAAAAGGTTAAGGTTCCCTTGCTCGAAAGCCAGTCGAATCCAACTCTAGGGTTGCGGTGCCGTTTCAAAGCCGAAGAGCCAGCGCTGTCTGGAGACATTTCCGTGGTCATGTGGCCGGCATGACTAAACACCAAGGCGCACGGAACGCTGTTACCTTCCCACCAAAGTGGTGCCTATTTATCTACTTGCAATTTCTTGCTTTCGAACTGCTAGGTTGGCAGGAGTTGGAACTAGAGACGGGAGCTCACGCCATCATGCAGCACACTCGGGTCTCGAACTGCTGAACTACCGACCTTCCGCAGCCTGCAGTTCAGCATCTTAACCACTTGAGCCACCGCAGCTCCCATGACTTAATACCCTCCTCCATTTTCTCCTACTCTCAATTACTAGTTGTGGCTTGGATCACATGACAAGGCCATTCTCCTTGCCCTTCTTCTGCCAGTAGCACTTCTGCTTGTGCCAGGGCTCCTTGCTCAAGCAGAAGTGATGACATCAGCGGGAGTGATTGCCACAGAAGAGGACAGCCTCCACAGTAGCCAGAGAGAAGCACAAGGGGGAACAGTGCCACAGGACTCAAGCCTTTCAGTTTAAAGGAGATTATAAATTCCTCTTGGGATTCATAACTGGTATTGTCTCCCAGAGAAGTTTCAAATGTGTAAGTTCTCTTATACAGTACTCTTCACGGATTTCTGAACTGAATAAACATAAAACGGTGTAAAGGAAGAAGTGTTTATTCACTTTCTTAGATACAGAGAAATGGAGATTCCCACCACCCCCCATCACCTTTCTATTTTCTGCCTCTATATCCCAGCAGTGTATCAAGTGTAACAGCTTCAATACATCAAGATCAAGAGAGAGATCTTGGGAGTCATAGTAGATAACTCACTGAAAAGGTCGAGACAGTGTGTGACTGCAATAAAGAAGGCCAATGCTATGCTGGGGATTATTAGGAAGGGTATTGAAAACAGATCAGCCAATATCATAATGCCCCTATATAAATCAATGGTGAAACCTTATTTGGAATACTGTGTGCAGTTCTGGGCACCACACCTTAAAAAGGATATTATAGCTTTGGAAAAAGTGCAGAAAAGGGCAACTCGAATGATAAAAGGGTTGGAACACTTTCCCTATGAGGAAAGGTTAAAGCGCTTAGGGCTCTTTAGCTTGGAGAAAAGACGACTAAGGGGTGACATGATCGAGGTTTATAAGATTATGCATGGGAAAGAACAGGTAAAGAAAGAGGTACTTTTCTCCCTTTCTCACAATACAAGAACCCGTGGGCACTCCATGAAATTGCTGAGCGGTCGGGTTAGAACGGATAAAAGGAAGTACTTCTTCACCCAAAGAGTGATTAACACATGGAATTCACTGCCACAGGAAGTGGTGGGTGCTACAAGCATGGACGGCTTCAAAAGGGAATTAGATAAGCATATGGAGCAGAGGTCCATCAGTGGCTATTAGCCACAAGGTATAGCTAGGGGCTCTGGGGCAAGTGATGCTCTGTCTTCTTGGTGCTTGGGGGGGGGGTCAACAGTGGGAGGGCTTCTAATGTCCTGGCCCCACTGCTGGACCTCCTGATGGCACTGGTATTTCTGGCCACTGTGTGACACAGAGTGTTGGACTGGATGGGCCTTTGGCCTGATCCAACATTGGCGTCTCTTATGTTCTTATGTTCTTAAACCACTAGGCCATTCAGGTTTGACCCAGAGCATATCACTGATGAATATACAGTGGAGGAGTGCAGAGCGACAAGGTATGCAACCCTCATCCCACCAGCACCATTCACCACTTATATTTAAATTTCTCAAGTACAGCACTCCATTTATAAGACTGTGGCCTTGTGTTTTCGTAAAGTATTTCATTCAGCCTCTTAAATGTCACCGTCTTGAAAAGCCTGTTTTCTTCTTAGCAGGCTAATTTCTGTGTCGTTCTGTAGCACTGCTAATCAGAAGCCCTCCTATAAAGGCTTTTTATGCCTCAGAGATACAGATATGCCAACAGATGTAATACTACTGAAAGAAATGAGTAGCCCAATCCTAATTTCCACCAATTTCAGTTAACATTTACTGCTAAATGGGTAAATGATCAATTCATGCAAGCGCTGTGTGGATCCGTTCTACTTTCCCTCCTCTCAACAGCCATCCACAGGATGCAGGTATGCCCTTTCCTGCCTTTTCCATCAGCAAATCCCTGCCAGAAGCAAAAGTATGAAGGGCGATTTTGCTCCTTCCGTAGAGCAGCTGGCTATTGCTCCATGTATCCTGTGACCAGAGAAACCAACTTTCTGGAGTCAGAAATGGCTGCTGTGGGAAGTGGAAAGGATCCAATCCAATATGAGATGCTGCTCTTTAAAGACAGATTCTCCTGTTTCTTCATTTTAAGAGAGCATATTAATCAATCAACACATAAGAGTAGATCCTGTGCAGGGCACCATGAGCACAGCTGCCCTTATGGAATGGGATCTTCCCTCCTCCTCTTTGTTGCTGTAGCCAGCTGTACTGCCCAGAATCGCAGATCCTGGGGGCTCAATGGGCTCTCGAGTGTCGTGTGAACTGCCTGTGAAAGGAGGAGTGAATTTGTGGAAATCTCACACGAACAGGTGCTGCATGAGCAGAATGAAATTGAGGACCCAACCCATGAACGTGTCAGAATGTGCATCTACTGTACTCTATTCCAAAGGTCCCCAATAGGTAGCTCGTAAGATACGAGGAACTTGCCAGCTGTTGCCAAGCAGCTTGTGTATTCAACTAAAAGACCTGGGGGAGTCAAAGAGATCTGCTCTAGGAAATTTTTTAAAGCTTTTATTTCATAGGATTTCTCTCTGTGCTGCTTAGCTGACAGCTTCATTTTTGGTGCTCATCCTGCCCCATTTTTGTTTTTGCTGCAGGATAGGTTTCTTACGGTACTCGCTCTCATTGAAGAAATGGCTGCTGACCTCTGCTCTGACTCAAATGCTGCCATACAATCCACATACAAATGATAGTCTGGAATAAGGACAGCCAACTTCTGGACTCTGAGGGGGCTGCTTCATTCTCCAGACACTGGTCTGGGGGCTAATGTTGCATTTGCCACATAGACAGGCATATATCTGTGTCTTAAAATCGTAGAATCATTGAGTAGGAAGGGACCTCCAGGGTCATTACACAATGCAGGAAATTCACAAATACCTCCCCCTCGTATCCCCAGTGACCCCTAGTTTTATGCCTAGAAGAGGGCAGCCCGCCCGCCCCCTCCAGGATCCCTGGGGAAATTGGCCTAGAGAACAATTGCTTCCTGACCCCAAAGTGGCAATCAGCATTTCCCTGGGCGTGTAAGAAAGGGCCACGAGAACTAAGCACTAATGTAACCCTGCCTGCCCTCCCTCTCATGATCTGCCTAAGTTCACACAATCAGCATCACTGTCAGATGGCCATCTAGCCTCTGCTTGAAAACCTCCAAGGAAGGAGAGCTCACCAACTCCCGAGGAAGCCTGTTCCACTGAGGA